CACAGGTACCCATGAACCAAATCAAATTTGTTACAGCTTCATAGCTGTTCTTCAAATTGTCTTGTATCTGGGTTTGGGGTCTTCTTTGATAGCTCTTCAGTATGTCCTCACCTTTGCAGGATTCTTTCGGTAGAGTTAGGCAAGGAAAGGGCATCATACTGTTTTTGTTTTAAATATGCTCATAAATGAGCCAGGGCAACACTGAAGAGAAACAACCACTGGTCTCTCGATGTGATTAAAATGAGAACCCTTCCACATCAGTCCTCATGAGAAAGGAACTTTGGGATATCTCAAAGTGTGTGACTCTTGAAGAATTTGCATGGTGGCCCATTCTGGACAGGAGTTTTTGGGGGTCCACTAGACCTGCAGGCAGGAGTTTGGAATCTCCAAGCCCGTCCAAAGCTGTGTGTTCAAGCACGGTTGTGGTTTTCCTCCAGCCCACACCACTAGATTTTCTGTTGTTGGAAAAGGTGGGGTACATCCCTCTTTTCAGAATCCTCCTCAGAAATTCAGGATGCTTTGATGTGGTATGCCAATCGCAGGAGTCTTGATCTTGGTACATTTGGGTTCCCAAGAGAATGGCAGGGTAAGGTGTTTTTGTGTGTCCTGCCTTGGTGCAGACCTGCCAGTCAGCCCAGGCACAGAACTACCATGGTCTTGGCAATGGGGCCAGCATTGAACAATACAGCACCAGTGAACAATGTAATAAAGGTCAGAGTTAGACATCTAAACTTCTCTGGCTAATTTAAGTGCATAGCACTAGATAAGAATAAGGACTGAAATTACATTCTCCTTTCAGATTCATGGTCTAAAGGTTGATTAAGTCACATTCCTGTAGCATAGAGAAAAAATACTGTAATAATCTGATGTAGCTGGAATACAGTAAGGTAGCCATGAGACTTACAGGTAGGATGGTAATTTCAGAAATGGAGGAGAATTTTATTTCATTGTTATAGGAAAATTGTGGTTTGGATGCTTTTCTGCAGCACAGGTTTCTTTTTTAGGCATTCATTGATTGGATGGGAAAATGTGTGGTATAGTCATTAGAAGAATGATTAAAGGAGGAAGGACCTTCTGTGGGAAAACTGTGTACACAGTAACTGCTGTTCTCTACTGGCTGCTTGCATCAGCATAAAGCTTTGTATTTCAGGCACTGGGAGAGGACTAGGTGTGTCTGTAAGACAAAATTTCAAATAGTGATGGTGGTGTGTGTCCCAGCTGTGCAATGGAGGCTAATTCTGACCAAATCTGATATTAGAACTGCATTGTTAATAAACATTAACAATGATGTTTAAAACAGAAATCAACAGTGAAAATGGTATTTCAACTGCTGTACCTTTTTTAAGCAAAAGTCCAAGTTTTAGGCAATTATGGATTTTGTAAAACTTAAAGATGACAGTGAACTAAAGTGCTGCTTAGGGTTAACCTCTAATAGCAAAGCTAGCCTCTGCTTCAGCCCATAAAAGCTTTGATCCTCATGAAAACCAGTTCTAATTATGTCTAGATAATAATCCTCATAAAAATCTGACTATCCTCTGAAGCAAATTTGGTGACTTTTTAATACTAAATTCTGATTGAGCTCACATTAAACCAGGTTTACAGCATTTTAGGGCCCTTTTCTGCTTCAGATTGTTATAAGAAATGAAAATGAACATAAACAATGGTTGTGAATAGTAGTATGTAATTTTTTATCTGACCCATTAGTATTTCCACAGTCAGCAAATACTTGAGAATGAAAATGAGCATGCATGGAGTTAGTCTTTTAAAATATTAACACATAAAGACATTAAAAATGGTTCTTAGTATCAAAACACATCAATTATGTAGACTAGAAGAAATTCACAAGCTTGTTAATTTATTTTTTTTATACCAAGTTACCTGTGTTGTGAATAATACAAATTGCTCCAAGTCTAGTAGTGGATGAAGTTTGCTGAAATTTGCCTTGTTGACAAGGCAAAATTCTTGTGCAGTGTGGTGGTTTCTAAGCAGTGATTTCATAACTATGCCAGAGGGTTAAACTGAAGACAGAGTCATCATTTGCTGATGGCAATACAGCTGCCAAACAGTATTTCAGATTGCAGTATTACAGATTCTGTGTTCCCTGCCCTAGCTCTAGCAGGCAAAGAAGATTGCTGTACATCCTAACTGGATAAAGCTTATGTTGCAAGAAGTTGTAGTGAGATGTTTTTAATGGAAAAGTACTATAGGTCTTGATTACTCTGATCTCTTGTGTTCCTCTCAGCATTTCATGGTAGTTAAAACACATTCTGAGTTCATTTAAGCAAGAGGCTTAACAGGAGGTGCTTCAGTGAACTTAAGAACCAGAGCTGCAATCTTGTCAAACCACAGTGTTCTCCCAAGCAAGCCCTAACTCTTGCTTTCCTGCAGCTATGTGCCAGCTAAATCAAACATGTCATATATTTACAGAATAAACTAAAGCCCTTAGTTCTTGATTTTCTAACCACATTCCTGTACAGCTCTGGAATCTTGTTTGTGTCATGGACTAATCATAAAGGCCTTTCCCTAGCCTTTGCATAACCTGGACACCAGCATGCCTTACTGAGAGGAGACTGTTGTTTTTACATTTGACACAACACTGGCAGTGCCAATTTTGATAGATTCCTTTTTAGTTTGGTTGGTTTTTTGCTATCTGAGTGGCATAAAAGATAGCATAAAGCATGAAGTCATCAATATTATGGCAGGATGCAGAAGTATACCCAGTGAACATTTTACTTAATGCCTTATGCTGTGATTACACTCGAGAGATTTGAAATATTAGAGAAGACATGGCTTAGTTTCAAATCATTCAAACACGTTTTTTTACTTAGAAGCTTAGTTCAGATGGCAAATCAGATCTGTTTTTTAATCTACTTACCCTCTCTAGCACTGGATAGAGGGAGAATTGCATGTTTTTCCTAATGTAGCCAGGTTTTAGCTACTGCCGTTTGTTTCATGTGTGATAAGAATACGCTGTTGGATCATGTTCAGCTTGGCATCCACCGTAAGTGCTGCGTCTGTCCCAGCAGAGCTGCTGCTCACCCAGTCAGTTCCTGGTCTCTGCTGACACACCACTTCTTCCACTCCACATTTCAAAACATTTTAAAGCTCGGTGCCATATAAGACCTGTATTCTACTTATGCTAATTAAGCCACCAGCTTATTCCATTATCAATTCCACTAGCTTTTGAAAAGCATCTTTTTCTTCTCTCTTTAGAGACTTTGGGGGAAGGTGGGGCTTCTTCTTGGACTTTGGCCAGAAGTTTTCTTGTGGTATGCAACTGGTATAGTCCTCAGCAAAGAGAAGAATTTGACTCAAAAACTGATTAACCTTTGAGTGACACTTCTAAGCCTTACCACTGAAAAGAACCATGTAGTCTCTGCATTTTTTTTCTGCCTGAAGTCATAATAAGCTGGCCAAAAAAATTAGCCCGGGCAAATTCAGTATTAAAACAACATGGGGCTATTGAGTACCCTCTAATTCTAAAATAAATGATTGAAGCTGCATTGTTCTTCATTTACTGACATCTAAGTGCTTCCATCTGCAGTGACAACCTTACGTTACTCTTGCTGGTGTGTACTAATATGAAGACTTATATAAACTCTTAAGTTTTTTTTCTTATGAGAGAAAAGAAACCAAAAACCCATATGCCTCCCTGTGACATGTTTGTCTCAGTTTATTTCTTTACCATATTTTGAACCATGGCCAGCTGGAACTTCATGTGAGAAAGTTCATTATTTACTTGTATTTTTTTATAATCTAAATGGAGGTCTCTGGGAATTTGCTGTCATTCTTGGTATAACCACAGGGAGGATTTCTTTGGCTTTGAACTGTTAATGATGGATTGCTGATGAGAGCACAGATGAATGTGCAAGAGTACTTCCTAATTTGCTCACCACGTGCAGCGTACCTGTGTTTCTAAGGAGGGGAAGAGATGAAGAGAAATATTATTCAGTTGCTTATATGCACTGTTTCTGTATATTATCAGTAAGGATATCACTACAGGGTAATGATCTATCTGACTTTTAGCTATTTTAGGAGGCATTTGATGGGTAATTTTTAGTCATTAAGTTCAGAGCTACTGCTAAAAGGCTAATAAATAAATATTAATTAGGTTACAAAATGGATTTTAAAATTTACAATAGCTTGTGGATGTATCTTCTTGGTTCAAATGTATCTGAAAAAAATGCAAGATTAAATAGCAGGAAGCCTTATTCAGGAGAGTTTATGAAGGAAAGCATATGGCTTATTAATCTCTTCATTCCCTCTCTTCAGGCATGGAGATAGGTAATAAAATATGGCCTTACTCTTCTGCTCAGTGCTGCTTCTGCTGCAACTTTGCTTGATTCTTGTTATTTGTCTGTCCTGTTTGTACAAATGAATGGGAAAGAAGGAGGCAGAACAGAGAGGGAATGAGGAGAGTTGTGGCTCATTCCCAGCTGATCACAGCCAGAGAAGTTGTCTGGGCACAGGAAACTGAAGTATTTTACTGTCAGAATGAGGAGGGAAAGTACCGTGGTACTGCAGGTCTCTGACTTGAAAGGAGGTGCAACACATCACAACAGCACCATCTCCATTTGTCACTGCTTTGTCACACACCACTTCTGCCCATCTATTCACATGCTGCAATAGAAAACCACCTCAAAACATGTGACTGAAATGAACTGTCCCTTCTTAAATTTAGGAACACTCAGATCTCTCCTCCTGCCTTCAGACTTGCTTGGATATTAGTTTGATGTGTTACATGACAGACTAGGTTGCATATTAACACTCCTTAACCTCATAAACTCCATGTTTGACACCTTCTGCTTCATTTGCATCTCATCTGCTGCGTGGTGGCTTGCTACAGGAATTGATGCCCATGACAAAAAGTACTTCTGTATAACTGTTGCATCACAGCTGGAGAGCTGTAAGCAGTACAGGGGAAAATACTGTAAATAAACTCATAAACTCATGTTATTATAACGCTGAATAAGCAATCTTCTCATATTTTATTTTTAAAGGGTGAACCAGGTTTCATTGGTCCACAAGGAGAACCTGGGTTGCCAGGGCTACCAGGAACAAAGGTAAGGGCCAGTGCTCTGGTGTGAAGCTCCTTGAGCTGATGTCAAATTCAACTTCCCTCAGCAAGGAGAAGAGACTGAGGCTACTATTGGAGAAAATGTGAAGTCATGGACCAGTGCTAGGAGATAGATATATAGATATTCATATTGGTACCCTCAAAAAATGTGAATGCAGATGTTACATCATGACTTTAATTAATAAGTCATCTTTTTTTCATGTTAGAATCCCCAAATTTGGTTGTTCAAGAGGCAGAATAGGCATGACTGAAGAAACTATTTTCATAAATGTGAGGCATTTTAGGAAAATGGCTTGAAAGTGTGTGCATGAAGTAGAACTTTGATACTGTGCAGCTGCTTCTGAAAATACAGGAAGACTAAACCACAAGTTTCTTCTGTTGGCTTGGTTTCTTTGATCCTGCTGAGTCGGTGGTGTGCTGAAGACTGCCCAGTGTTTTGTGATATCTGTGTGTCTGTTGCAATAGGGTGACCGAGGAGAGGCAGGCCCTGTTGGGAAGGGTGAGCGAGGTGAACCTGGAATCCCTGGACCAAAGGTCAGTCTGATTTTTACACTGGGAATGTTTTGTCAGTTTTACACCTATGGACACATCTTTGCCTGTTGAAAAGTAGAACAGAACTTGGTGAGTGAGCTTTTAAATGAAAATGCTGTCAAATGCTCTACTTGAGTCCAGAAGACAATGGCAGTTTTGTGTTCCCAGCTGTGAAACTGCAGTCTGAATGGACTCTTATTTGGTCTGCAAAGTAAAGACACTACCTACATACACTGTCATGGAATTGGCCTAATTCATTCCAGCTGAAGTAGTGACCTCCAGGTCCCTAACTTTCAGCATCAAAGTTTGAACTCTTTGACCACTGTAGCTATTGAATGCAGAGAAAATCCATTTTGCATGCTGTTTTCTAACTCTCTAAGAAAGAGATCGGCCTAACTACATTTTAGTATTATCTTAATATTTCCCCTGGTGTTGATACTGTCAAGTTCTTCTTTCCTAGTGCATTTTGAAAACAATAAGGTTAATTTTCTGCTCCTTGGACGGTTAGTTTGTATTCACCTGAACTGTTGGGAAAAGAAGTTGTGGCAACACTTTATTTTAATTTCCTTATGTTAGAATATTTAACTATCTTCTCTATCACTCGGCTATCATTTCTCAGGATTAATGGAATGACATAGTTCATTCCTGAAAATCAGTGATAATGATGCCTATCTTTACTAATGCCAATACTGTTTTCCCTTTGGAAAAGAGGAATCTGTGACCATTGCACTCTGGTGTTAAAGAATATATTAATCTGGGTGCTATTAAATTAAATGCCTTTAAGGATTCATTATCTTGGTAATAGCAATATAAAGTATTTCTTCTGTTCCAAACTGTAGTTAGTCATTACTAATTTCTTTTTCTCTGCACTCCCATTTCTCTACCATTTTTCTATCTCATTTCAAACAGGGGAAAACAGGTGAACCTGGATCTAGAGGCCCCAAAGGGTCAAAGGTTAGTAGTAAAGAAAGTTTCTTTAGGGGACTAATTAATACAATGATTTTTAGAATCAATTATTTGTAACATTTCTCTTTAAAAGGATCTGCAGCGTTCTTTATAAGTGAAACCTTCTGACCTTCAATTTTAGCTAAAAAATTTAGTCAAGTCATATGGATTTTGAACACTGTGATTCTAATATTTTTTCTGTTACAACATCCATTCCACTCTGCTGTTGCTTTCCTCATGCAACTTGGTTTCTCTCTGTGTATCTGATGTGTGTTAGCTTTCCCACATGCCAGGACCCAACACCTGACTGGCTTTTACTGGGTTTTCAATAATTTTGTGGATCCACACTTAGGTGAGCTAGGTGTCAGTGGTATTCCAAGTACTTCAGGCTGAGATATGATGGTCAGAAATCCTACAAAGGCAAGAGTTGTTGGTTGCATTACTGTTTCATCTGCTTTAAAAAGACTACTTTGATTATATCTACCCATTTTTCTTTATATAACTATAGTTGTTTCATATATATGGAGAGATAAAATGTATGTTTTTTCTATTACTTTATCTGCTGTGCAAATACTGTTCCCACTGGATTCCTTCATGTTATATGATGGATGAAAATGTATTTGTGTAGGTGGTCATTGACAAGTCTGCTGTCATAATAAGGGTGACAGGACAATGTAGGTGGTGTGAAACTGTTTGCAGTACTTGTAAGGTCCTTGAAGGGTGCCCTTAAGTGCTTAAAGATGTGATTAAACAAGTGCCATTTAACCTCATTCATGCCCACCAGAAAGAAGCGTTGGAAGGCAAGGGAATTGATGAGGGAATTAAAGTATCAGAGTGAGAGCAGAAGAGTAAACCTGCCTCTCATTTCACTGCAGTACCTGGGCACCTCCCACATGCACCAAATTAAAAGGGTTTTTTTATCAAAAAAGGATGTAAGGTTTTCATTTTACCTGCATACCTGAAAATCTGGCCCACAGAAGTCAATCTAGTGGTGGGGAACTTCATTTTTTATCAGTTCCAATGTTCACTGGCTGCTGCCAAGGCAGCACTGTAAGGAAAGGCAAATGACACAACCTTGATAATGCCCTGTCACCAGCCTGCTCTCTGTATGCCTTCATTAGCTCTATGAAAGTTTCCTGGTTTCTGTGTGTTCTCTTACCACTGGTAAGTTAATCATTCTTCCCTGACTTTTACCAAAGTTCTCTAAATTTCAACAGGAACAAAATTTGCAGTTCTTACCCATATTAATTTTGAGTAATATTAAAATGTAAGACCTTGCTATGAAAGTGACTGTGAAATTAACTGTGGATGCCAGGATATGACTGCATATATGTTTGAAATTCCCTCCATAATTTGAAATATATTACTAATTGACAGGAAGAAAAAGTTGCATGTAAGCTGGTAATGATCTTAGGCCTGTCACAGAAAGGGTGTCAAGAAACTCCAAATCTGACAGTACAGTTGTGTTTGTAGGGAAGGCTCAGACCAGGGAAGTTCAGAAGGTTAGTCAGAGGCGTGATTACAGAAAGAAAGGTTTATACATTTTGAAACACACATTTGAAGAAGTTTTTGACTCTTTTCAGACTGAGTAATTTAATTTCTCTAGTATTCTCTTCAAGCTTTTGATAGTAGTGTCATTAAGAATAGGGATGTTACAGAAAGTGCTTAATTGTTAATCTGCCCATTTTTTTATTGCAGACCAATACAACACTCTAATATTCACACAGAACAAAATGCATCATTGTCGATTCTACCAGTACACAGATTTTGAAGGACTTTTTCCTTTCATTAAAAAAGATTCACATCCTGTTTAGGATGAGAGACCCTGTAAACCAGTTCATTTAAGAAAACATATTTAAAAGGGAAGAACTATGTGATATATTGTCAAATGGCATACCTGCTTTTTTCATGTATCATTTTTACATAGGGGGATACCGGTGAGAGAGGTGACACAGGATCTGCAGGTCCACAGGTAAGTCTATGTCTCAGCTCTTTGTTTTGTACCCTTAGATGCAGTCCATGTGAACTGAAATCGTAGCAGTAATTCCAGTTAAAACTTCAGGTGAAATTGGGAACTTGACACTGTTGGAACTTGGTTGCTAACTGGACTTCAATATGACTGACACCACTTGCCACTATTTGAAGCAGTCTCCTCTCCACAGTTTGTGGGCAGGATGTTACAAGCCAGGTGTTCTGACATTGTTCACTGCCAGTACAGAACTAGAGTGTAGGAACTGCTTAAATGTCTTCCCTCAGAGGTTTCATCTATTTGCTTTCCCACTGCAGCACAAGTCACTTTGTACTGACTTGCTTATTTATCTTTACTAAAAAAAACTTTTTCCTTTAAATTCTATGTTTTGTAGTAGTATATTACAAGTACAGTAAGTGTATAGCACTACACTATCAAATCAAAGCATGTGTCAGTAGTTGAGAGTCTAAAATAGCCTTTGACAGTTGTCTTAAAATTCTAATGGAAAATATGTTACAGGGACCACCTGGACAGAAGGGCGATCAAGGTGCAACAGAGATAATTGATTATAATGGCAATATCCATGAAGCTCTGCAGGTATGCAAACATAACAAGGCTGAATTGGCTTAGTCTGGCCTGGCAAAAAGTAATTTGACAGCACTGTGTTTCTCTTTTTGCCTAGAGCTTGAAAACATTTTATGTGCAAAATTGTTGAGCTTATTAATCAGGAATCACCTTCTATATTTGGAAACCAGGTTATCTGTGCTAGAAGAGCTGTTTCCCTGACACACATTAGCTGGGTGAATTAGTTCCATGTTCCCTGGGGAGTACTGACATCACCTAATGAGGACAAAACTAATTCATTGCTGGCTTTGGTGTTTTAGTGCTGAATTAATGTAATAAACCACATACACAGGTTCAACAGAAGTGTCTGCTTTTCAGTTCATGTATTACAATATTGACATTGCTTTTTTTCCTTGTTTTCCTTCTCTTCTTCCTTTAAAATGAAAAGAGCAGAATATTTGAGCTTTGGAAACCATGTAACATGGTTCCATTAGCAAGCTGTGGATTCAATCAGCAACTTGAGTACATTAAGTAGACCAGGCACCAGTCTTCTCACTTACTCATTTCTGGAAAACCTATTTAGACTGGTGTGCAGAAAAGTGTGGAGGATTAAAGTGGGGTTACAAAAAGAATGAATGAGTGTTTGCATAAAAGCAAAGAACCAAGATGACATATGTCATTGAAGTCAAGGTGATTTACATTGCAGAATACTCAGATGCAAATTCTGTGCAGTATAACTCCACCAAAGTGAATGGCTTGCTTATGTGAAACTGAAGACTGGATTTGGCTCATTGTGCATCTGATCACTTTCTCACTGAAGCCGCTGAACTCTTTTCTTACATTTACGCAGTGGGAGTGGGTAGAAGTCTGACCAGTCATTTGGTTTCCAAGGTACTTGCAAAAAATAAAAAAAATCTCACTGCCTTTCCTAAAATCTAAAAGCCTTGTATGTCACTAAGGCTGAGTCCACAATTTCATTGTGGCTGTGGAGAAGTCTGCATAGGCATGTTTTGAGGCTCTGCATTATGTTTGCCTCATTTGGTTTGCTTGTAAAGGAATTCAGACACACAATTTTCAGTCATCTAAATCCCTCTCTGAGTCACATGCCTAAAGTAGCCTGAAATTAATGTTGTGTATTACCAGACACAGATTTACCAGGGGCTTTAGCCCCTGCATCTCCTGTATTCTGTCCTTGTAGCATAACTCTGGCATCAGTGTTACTTTCAAGCTTCTTCAGAAAAGCTGCAGCACATAAAGAAGCCTTAAAAGTGGACTAAAGCCTTTTGCAGTGGTTGAGACATGTAAGAAGCCTTTATCCCATTGCAAATCATTCCAAATATCATCACCTTCTGATCCAGGGCAACAAATAATTGATATTAATGGGAATGGCTGTGCAAGGAGGGTGTAAGTAAGATTATATAGGATCAGTTGAAAATATCCTTGCCAAATCCAGCTCAGTCCTTTCAGATGGCAAACACCCATTCCTAAGTCTCCTGGTGCCAAATTCTTAGGGGCTCTGAGGTTTGCAGTTCTCTCACAGAAGCACATGAGAATTTCCAGTGCTCAGCACCAAACTGTGAACTTTCACAGAATTTGGCCTGTAGATTTAAGAAGTTGAAAAGAGTTTACAAGATATGGACTTCTTGTCTCATGTTAGAATTTAGTAATAAATCATGAAGCAGTCTAGAAACTTAGTTACTTTGCCTTGTGCCTCCTATTCAATCTCATGTGCAATCTTAAAATTGTCATTGTGGTTTGAGCAAGACCACTGCTGAGACTATGTGGCTTTCACTTGGAGGATCAAATACAGAATTCATCTCTCTGCTGAAATTGCTCTTCACACCTGTTCTGCAGAATTTCCCAGGGCAAAAAGCACCAGTTTCCAAAGTTTAACCTTTGTAGGAACTACAGCATTAGATATTAAAATATTTGCCGCCGTAAAGGGGTCCATTATTGTGAACATGCAAACAGTTCTTGGCAATGGTTATTTCAGGTTTTCATACCTAGATACTTTCATGCCTGAACTTCTCAGTGTTTTTTAAGTTCTTGATATATTTCCATTAATACATTGAATTACAAAGGATATGAGTATATTAAAACCATGTGTTAGAGAACAATTTTGTGCAAGTACTTTCCATCGAGTAGGTTCCAGATCTTTGCCAGCAGTATGTATTGTTGCACTGACATACAGAGGTTCTTCTACAGCTTAAAACAGAAGATCTGCAAACCTTTATTTTGCACATTGGATAAAAATTAGAAAAGCAAAATATTTCTTGTTCCATGTAGACCAGTTAAGTTCTTCACACGCAAAAGGAAAGCATGTGCATGCTGCAATGTTTGGGGGTTTTACTCTGTTCAAAAACATAGACAAGCATTTAAATTACATTTTAATACTTTTCCACTTGGTTTTAGATTCTTTGGCAAAAAAAACCAGTGATAAGTCAAGATATTTTCCCTTCTTCTATGATGAAAATATCCTTTGTCTTTCCAAGCAAATTCAAAGCAGAATACATAGATGAGTTATGGGCTGGCAGTTTTGGGTTTAGAACTGCATTTTTATATGAAAATTAATGTTACATCTCCACTCGAGGAATCATATGTATTAGTTAAACATTGGTGCAGAACCTGCAGACATTACAAAACATAGGGTAGCCTTTCAGTTGGCTTCAGACACCAACACATTATGTTTTTTTAATATGCTTAAAAACTGCTTTTTGAAGACTTCTGCTTAGATTTTGCTGTTTAGTCATTGTTTATTTGATCTCTTGAATTGTACAAAAATACTGTCTTCATCTAATTCCCACAGAAACCAAGCAGCTTCAAATTCAACACCAAGAATTTAAAATAACAGAGGTTTTCTCTAGGTTTTTGAGGGCATGGTGTCTCCCACATGCAGCCTAGGTTCTGTGGAGATTATAACTAGAGCAAACAGAATTATTTATATCATTGTTTAATTCTGCTACTGACAACTCTTGTTAATACATTTTGCCAACAGAGGATTGCCACCCTGACTGTCACGGTAATTCCTATTGCATGACTTACTGTGCGTTGTAGAACTTCTCCTTTGTGCTGCAGCCTGTTCATAATTTTGCTAGCTCAGGACATACTTTCGTTGGATGTCAACCTGGTTCATCATAAGATGTACTGATTTCCTTTGCTTGGTGTTCCCATAGCAGAAAACCCATTGTTTAAAGCCAGAAATGGAACCAATTCTGCTCCTTTTGAATTAATGGCAAAACTTCCGTTCATTTAAGTACGAGACTGGGAAAACACGTTCTCCTTTTTTGTTTCAAGTTCTTCTCTGCAAAGTTGCTGTTAGCTGTACTTTCCCATCTGTACACACCCTTTCACTATTAATGCAGGGGATTTCTAAATGTTGATGTGGGGTTTCTTTAAAGCATCCCCACTATGCACCATCTGGACCAATGTTTGATGTATCACACTGTGTCCACAGCCTGAGGTGGAAATGAAGGAAATGGTTACATTTCATGGCAATTTCACAAAGCACTGAGTATCCCCAGACACACTTAGAATCTTTTAGCAGAATCCTCTTTGCTTTGAGATTTCTCCTGGTCTCAGATTGTTTTGGATCAGGCAGCGAGGGCTGGCAAATATGACTGGGTTTTGGTCTCCCTTCCATTAAGGGAAGCAGTGTCATTTCATCAATAGGAGCAGAGGACTTTATTATAAAATATGAGTTGTACTGTTATTTTAACACTGTTTTTTGTGGTAGTGTTGTGGTTGTTGAGAGCTGTCACAGATTAACAACTTGTCCATAACTGGTCTTGGTTCCCCTTGTGTTAAAAATCTAACCCATTTTGTTACAGTAGCTGTGTTAACATTTCACCCTGTGCTTACATGACAAGTTCTTCAGGAGTTTAGTTCAAAGCTGAGAGGTTTGTATGTTTCTGTTTAGGGACCACCAGGACCACCAGGACCCCAAGGGCTGCAAGGGTCAAAGGTGATCTTCTTTACTTTACTCATTGTATCTTAAGGGTGGAGTGTTTTCTGGGTTTTTTTCAAATGGTGTATATATACAGGTAAATGGAGCTTTCAAGCACAGTTGTTTAACTGTAAATTTAATAAATATGGCATGTTTCTGACTTTCTATGCAAGATTCTTGAGATGTAGCTTTCCAGAATAGGTGCTTTGTTTAATTGCCACACACAGATGCTTAACTAAGGACCAACAAAATGAATTAGTGCTGAAAGATTGCAGAAGCATCTCACTCAGGGATCAGCACTGGGGTTGCTCCCTAGGACTTTTCAAAAATAGCCACACAACCAGACAGTTGAGGCTCCCATGCCTCACTTCTGGCTGAGTGGGAATGAGGTGGGCAAAGCTGTGTGCAGGACCACTGGCCACCATGTGAGTGCATGTGAATGCAGCTTCTATATCACGGGGGCACCCACCCAAATAAGTGCAGTATTGTCTAATGTCAGTAAAAATTACAAGGTACACATGTGGGCAGGAGCCTGGCTGGAAACCCAGGCCTGCCAATACCACCTGGCTGGTGCTCATAAGTAGTACAGAAGGTTAGTGAGCAGCCCACACAGAGACAATGAATACTGTATGCTGCTCTGTTCTATAAAATTTAAATAATATATTTGCCTATACTTAAAAAAGAGGTGTTGAAGTTAGTGGACTCTCCCTTAATGTTTTTAAACTAGTTGAGATGTTCCTCCTATTTCTTAAATACTAGATGCATCTTCTCGCAGTGTCTCTACACTATTCCAAGAGCAAATACGTGCATCTTTAATAACACTTCTAGACATTTCAGTTTTAGACTTTATCCAGTATTTCATATGGAAATATATCACAATACACATGTACATTGTCTTGAGAAATTGTGAGAAACAAGGTTCATTCTATATGAAAATTGATAGTAGAATATACAGTTAAGTGTGTAGAAATTGCTTTTTTGCATTCTCATCTATCCAGCAATTCTGCAACATATTTAGTATGTTGTAAAAAAGAGAAGCTGGAATGTGGAAGAGGTTGTGTTCCTTCATACAGATGAGCATTCTCATTCAAAATTTACAATGTGAAGCAGAATTTAGCATCACAGGAGTTTGTTTCTAATGTCATTGACTCCATCCATCACCATAACTTGCTCCCTTAGAGAATGCTACCCAGGAGCTAGTCATAAGACAATGTGGTGGATGTGAACTCCTTCACTGGGTGATTTGTAATAGGGAAAAAAACCATGAAGTTTCTCTTGTCCTTACATAAATTGGGAGGCATGATATTCTGTATTTATTCTGGTAGCAGGCAAAGTTTCCATTGGATTGGGGTCTTTTCACCCCTGGGATTTTGTCTTCTTTTTCCTTTATTTTTATGCACTTGTCTGGCCTTTATACAAGCCAAAGTTTGTGTAATGTCATGCTCAGCTTGGCTGTTTATTTAATATAGGTATTATATATATGCTGGATTTTTTGACAGAATATTCTCTAGCTTTATAGTTGTTAATTATGGGAATTTTTCTGGCTCTTTCCTGTAATATCTGGGACAATTGGGATAATCCATTTCTGTCTTATCTCTTACAGGGTGAACCAGGATCCCCAGGAATTCCAGGAGCTGATGGAGAACAGGTACATTTTGCTTAAATCATGTAGTGGAGGACATGTGAGCAACCACAGGTTGTTTCAAGAGATTATTTCCATGATCCCAATTTTCAACTTAGATTTCCTAATCTAAATAATATGATGATAATGATTAATAAAGATCATTATAGTGTTGCTGCGTAGTCTGGGATCTAATAATGTTCTGCATTTTAATAGCAAAAGTATATGTAGCACATGACTTCTGCTTATTAAGATCAAAGCTAGAATTCTGTTGGTGTCCCTAAGTTTTTTACATGACTTACTGAATAATTCCATATTTTAGGGTCCTAAGGGCTCAAAAGGAGACACAGGTGATCCTGGAATGCCTGGAGAAAAAGGGGGAATCGGACTGCCTGGCCTACCAGTGAGTATGACAAATAAATTAATTAATTTTAGCAAAAATATTTCTATTTTTTTCTCTGTTCCATTATCAGGAGTTTCCAACAGTATTGATAAATTGCAAATGGGAGGGAAAGAAACTGGGGAGAAAATTCTGAGATCGTTCTGAAGCTAATCTAGGAGGAGGTATAAGATTGTCAGAGCTTTTCCTCCACTTACAGTGAAAAAAAAAATACTGGGCTGGGGAGAAAGAGGTTAGTTGGCAGGCTGACCAAAATTGTGCCACTCTTGTAATATATAGTACAACATGGGCAAGGAGAAAGGAGCTGTGTTTCGAATGGAAGTTTCAGGTGACTTAGATTGAGGAGGGAGAAAAAATGCATGATTATTTATGGGATGCATTCTTCCTATTTTGTGTGTGTGTATATAGATACATATACATACACATGAAATTTCTCAGCAAAAACAGAAACAATTTCAAAATTGTATCCGTAGTACAATACATCATGAACGGAGTGCCAGTTTAAGGAATTGTCATAAATATCATGCCACAAATGATAGCTATCAATATGAAAGCATGTGTTTATATTAGTTAAAAATTATTTTTAAAGTAGTGCCAGATTTTTTTTAAGGATTTCCTTTTTTTAAATGATAATTATTTGCAAATAAATATTATCATTTCTAGATTGTTTGCTAGTAAGATTGAAGCAGTTTATAAATGCTGTTTTGTAATGATTTTTAGGGAGCCAATGGCATGAAAGGCGAAAAAGGAGACGTTGGTTTGCCTGGTGCCCAAGGTCCTTCAGTAAGTCCTAGTGTGGCATTGCAGTGAACACAGGAATCCAGCAGTGGTTCTCCAACTTCTTGATATTCATGACTGATCTTTCCTGAGAATGAACAGACTTCTGGTCATAGAGCTAAATGCAGTTTAAGACATTTCAAAGATATAATTCCTGTTCTGTGACTATGAACATGTTCTGCTTGCTCCAGTCAAAGTCTTCTGGGTCTGTAATGAATCAAAAGATAAATGGGGAAGAAAGAAAAAAAAACCCAAACAAGCCATAATCTCTCTCAACACCCTATACTCTGGGAATCTCAGATAGTGCAGTGAGAACCAGCCTAAACTGACTTTAGGTATGTGACCAGCAGAGTGAGCTAGTTGTATGAGACCACACATTCTCATGATTTCTTTTTTTTTTTTTTTAACACTGTAAAGGCATCAAACAGACAAACAAACCCAAAAAAACCTAACACACTCCTACATGGTACCTTTGTGGTGTGGGTGACTTTCATTATCAGAGCAGAGGTTAGTGACAGAAGCCATAGCTCTGAGAAGTCAAAGAGGCTGCCCTGTGCCATTGCAGGACACAAGAGGCACCTCACGTCTTCGAGTTTCTTTCTATGAGAAGAAGATTAGTTTGTTAGAAATTAATTCACTAATTCATTCATCCTGTTCTGTGTATTTTCACTTGAAGGAAGACTTACAGTTTTCAGGAGATTTCACAGCTGGTGGAATCTGTCTTATATTTCAGTGTGTGTCTTGTTGCTGCTTTTGCCACCACTGACAGCTACTACAGCAGTGCTTGAGTCTGGAGACCTGCGTCAGCATCCCTGCTGCCACTCTGCAGGCTATGGCAGCAACCCATTGGGATTAAGTCCAGGAAGAGAGGGGGTATAAGCTGGATATATCATCATGAAATTCTTTCCATGGATTTGTTAGGAACATGGAAAACCAGTGCAGAATATGCGTGCACTAAACACCGAGCAACCCGATTACCTATTTTAATGACCTCAGAGAATTTTTGGTACAAGTGGGCTAAAAGAAATAAAAGGAGAGACAAAGGGCAATTTTGAAATTATGCCAAAGCCCAGCTTGAATTTAGTATCTTTTCCATTTGTCAATGTTGAGAAGGAATAAAATAACACATCATCACCTTCTGTCTCTGTAGATTAAGTAGTAGAAGAGAGAACGAAAGAGCACATACCATAAAATATAAAAAGTTCAAGCACCCCTTCTCAGTACTGTTTGTTTTACAGGGATTTATTGTTTTTCCCCCATAGTGCCTTAAAGTGTATCATAGACCCTAGGAATAAGAATCTGGAGGCAGGCACGCTGCCATATGGCACAGGCAGATCTGCACTTTGGGTACCCTGTCTTTCAAATCAAAATAATTCCCATTCTTAAAGCCCTGTCTAGATGTGCTGTCAATGTTCACTGTTGCATAGCTGTTTTTGTAAGTGCTTGCCAACAAGGGTCAGCCTGACTTCTGGTATTTTTGTGGGAGTTCTTTGCTCTGCATGATTTAATACCATTGTTTTTTATCTGTAGATGATAGGACCACCTGGACCACCAGGGCCACATGGTCCTCCAGGCCCTATGGTAAGCTTGGGGAGGAAGAGAGGGGCTGGAAATGGTTAAGCCCTCTTGCCACTTTATTGCCTGCTTACTGAAAATGTTAACAGAATATGTTGCCATTAAAGAGGAGATCTAACTTGGAAATGTCTGGTTCCTCCTCAGAATCAGGTGTTTACTATTGTTTTATTGACAGCTGCATTTCTTTTGAGAGTCAAGAAATACAGGGGCAATTTGTGTCCCTATAAAGCAAAAACTCCCAAGAAATCATGGTGTATTTTCATAATGAAAAATGTTACTTTTATTTTCAGGGACCTCATGGACTGCCTGGCCCAAAGGTAAATTAATACCTGTCTTGAATAGACAAGCTCTTTATGCCTGCAAAGTGTCACGCTTTGCTCTTGAATGCATGCAGCTATGTTTTGTCATGCCTCATTAAATAAACGTTTCTGATATTCTTAAACCTTAAAGCAGATTTTAATATTAGCAGCTTAAAAGCTTTTTAAATTTTCTGTGATTGTTTCTGAGTAGTATTTCTCCTCAGCATTGACTAAGTCCATTTTTCATATGAATACTCAGGATGTGGCACTAAATTATTTAGCTTCCTGTTTATGGGCAAGCTACCATTGCACTTGGAATTACTTTGGAATACCGAAGCATGTTGCAGGCTCAGGAAATGAAGTCAGATAAACTTGTCTTCATTTAGGCTCTCTTGTATCTCCTGCTTCTTCCAGTCTCCATGGCCTTTGTTAGGTGACAGGTGTTTTACTGACCAGTTCCTTCACATTAACATGTGGCTCACCATCACAAACTGATGTGTGCATTTTCGTGTTTTCCAAGCTGGATTCATGATCAGACAGGTCTGCAATACAATTTGAACATTTTCCATAGCATAGATGTTCTTTAGTCCATGAGAACAGCTCAGGAGAGTGGAAGTGAATTTTGGCAGAGTTGAAATATTTTAATTTGTGCTTTAATTCAGTAGTCACCAGTAGGTTAAAATTCAGCATGACACTGTGTTCATTAAGGCCAGTGATCTCATCAGGCATAATCATTTAAATCACTATGGCTCCCTAATCACACCTTTCTCAAAAAGTAAGGAAAAGGAGGAAAGGGTGTTTTCTGTGTAGTTTTGGGGGTTTGTTTTGGGTTTTTAAAGGTGCAAGACAGAAAATCACAGGTTTGACCCCTTATGAGACTGTGTTACCTTGGCTCAAGAAACCTAAGTCATAAATCATTTTTTGAAATCAAGTATGTTCCATTTTAGCACCTGCCCTGCTTTACCTCAGGCTTTTGGCCTGAGACTCAGGCTTTGTGGGATTTCTCAGGTCTGTTTCCAAAACTTCAGCGTTTCCAGTGCTACTGCTCTGAAAGTCACATCGAGTCAAATAGAATAAGGATGAAGAAATGGCTGCTAAGGGGGCAAAGCAGGCAGATGATGTCTGGAGTTACTTAAAGGAGCAGACTGGGTTCTACTGAGATTGGTGGGTTTTTTTTTAAAATATGAATATAATATAAGGTAACATAATACATCAAAGGGAAATCTAGCAATGAGGCCATGGGGAGCAGCCTGGATAAAATACCCACGTATTTCTGTTTCCCAGAAGAGGCAGGTGTGGTCAATACTCTCTTTGACTGAGCAGCCCTCATGCTGATGCAGTTTTTCATTATGAGAGAATGATTTATTGGCAGCTCTGAGCCCAGTATTATCATCTTAGTGATGTTTAATGTAATAGCCTATGCATAATTTAACAATCACAACAAGTACCATATCTTACATTGTTAAAATTTCTCTTTATGAACACAGAAACTGTGGACCTCCCAAACAGCTTGGCATTGTGTAATCTGTACTGTTTCTTTTAACTTGTTACTGTTTATTATGTATGCTTAAAGGTTTAAAATATCTTTATGTAAGATTTTGCTGCAAATTCCAGTTTGCTGTTAGGGAAAGTGTTGCTTCCTTACCAAATGTACTTTTCAGGAGATCTCCCTGTAGAAACCTGCAGTTTTGACATTTATTTTTATGAACATTTTCTTTCAGTTTGAATTATCTGCATAGGGTGGTTTATGGGATTTGAGGAATTTCCAAAACCCCCTGAAACTCATGCTTAATTCAAACCTTCTAACTGTAATGATGATTATTAGGAAAACATTAAAAAAATCTGTTACCCATAAGTTTCCTGCAGGTTTTTTTAACGCACATTTTAACTCCAGCAGACACCGCCCAAGTATTTTTGCCCACTGTTAAATCAGTATGTAAATTACAAGCTGAGAAGGTTGAATTTGTTCAAACTGGAATTTGCAGCTACTTCTGAGACTGGCTTCTTCTATCCCAGCTTAAACACCCATTGTAGCACCAAAACTTTGGCATTTATACTTTTACGTTTAGGGTGAACCAGGGTTAAATGGTCTTAAAGGATTGAAGGGTGAACCAGGTCAAAAGGGTGACAGAGGGCCCCTTGGTCTTCCAGTAAGTAAAAAACCCCAACTATTCAATTTCAGTGCAAATCACAAACGTGTCTTTCTACTACTCATGAACAACTCTGATTTACTCAATAGCATATGCAGAATATACCATGTTGGAGCAGAGCATCACTCTTGTTTTGTTTTGTCCCAAATCTGTGCTATCATCCCAAGTAATGTCCTGTAACACCCAGTGCTGTCAGGTTTTTTTCTCGTTGTTGTGTGTCAGTTGAGAGTGTTCAGTGTCACAAGGATGTCATCACCCCCATTACATTAGTCATGCTGTTATTCAAGTGTTGTTTGGTGTTTCCATTAAAAAAGGAGTCTTCCCTTTCCCCCGTCTCCCCAGTTATTCTTCCTCTCATTGCACTTCTGCAATTCAAATGGAGAGGTCTAATGGAGGAAAGCTAAAAAAAATGGTTTAGGGAATTAAGTTGCAAGGGTTTTTTTTTTCTGGATTCTTATTTTTGCCTTGTTCTTTAGAAAATTCCCATTCTGAGTGTTTGGCATGAATTTTGTCTTAAAAGTGAAGAACCTTAAAAATATGGAAACATCAGAGTTCTTAGAATTTAGGTTGATAAAATAGAAAATACTTTTTGTGTTTAAAAGCATGCTGAAAAGGCAGCTTTTTTTTTTTTTCTCAGAAAAGAGTTCATTTTTCCTCTTTGCTGTTGTTATTGTATGAGGATTGCTCCCAGTGATTACATTGTTAACAGTAAAATGGAGAAAAACTACTTAGTTGACCCAAAGGAACACAAACCTCTGTGATTAATATTTTCAAGAATTATGTGCAGGGCCTCTGGACAAGCTCAGCGTCACCGAGAATTTTAATTTATTTTGAGAAAAATAAAAGCTCATTTTCACACAGACAGTTACATCTCTGTAGAGAGTGAGCTTTGGAGACCTGAGCCCTGAAAATGGCTACAAAGTAGAAGAGACCAGCACAAAATATGCTATTAGATTTTCCAAATTTACACAGACCTTGTATTGCTCCTGCTTGCTACTTCTAAATGTCATTTTCAGGAGCAAAGCCCAAGCGTTTGACGTTCCAAATAAACGTCTCGTTTTATGGAGTTGGCTGGAGATTTTAGCTGGGTTTGTTTGGGGGCTGGTTTGGTTCGGTTTTTAGGAAGCAGGGGTGCTGTGCAGATCATTCCCTGTGCCCATGCTGCGGTGCCGCTCTGTTATTCGCACAGAACCCACGAGGGGTCCCCCCGTCCCCAAGGATGCTGAGGCTCATGGCCCGGCGTGCCGGGACGGGAAAACAGGAAAAGTGATTGTCTGCCGGCCTCTTGGAAATGAATGAGCCCATTGTGGTCAGGATCCCGATTTTGTTGGCTGCATAATGCAGTATTCTTGCACTTGAATATTTCCTGTCGCAGTTAACACGCGTTTTTCTTCCTTTGTGTATACTATTCAGTATTGTCGCTGTTTACAAATTAGAAAGCATGCGAGTAAATGACAAAGTAAATATTCGTGTGCTCAGGCTCAGAAACACCCAAACATCTGGTATTTGTAACACTCCTAGGGCCTGACAATATTCTGCTCCAATATACTTGATGCCAGGGCAGGGTTGGGTCAGCGATGTTACGCTGAGGTGAGAACAGAATCGGGCTCTCGGTGTTTTATGTGAATTTTTAACTAACATGCTGTCGTAGTAATGTGATACCCACTCCAGAACCCTGTCACAGCGTGTACTGTACGTTTGAATTGTGTTTATTCATCAGCACCACTTACTAATCTCACGTTCTTGTCATTCGTGTCGTGCCCATCATCCATGCTTCCACCTAACCACACAGGGAGCATCTGGCTTAGACGGAAAGCCAGGAGCCCGGGTGAGTCCCTTGTCTTTCTGTGTCCCCCTTGGTCCTTGTGCTGTCCGTGTGCTCCTCAGGAGCTCTGCCAGCCAAGCTCGCTCACTGCACACAGGAAGGAAGGCCAAATGCTGCAGGCATTTTCTTTGCTGCATGAGAGGGGGCTTCGAGCAGATTTTTAGGGCAGTATGTGTGGGAAGGAGAATGTAATTCTCTGCAGAAGGAGCTCTGAACCTTAAAAAGGCAGCTTAGTTTTGATTTTTGGTTGGGCAACTGCCTTGAATGGGTTGTTGGTTTTCCTGAGTAAGGTGAGGGATTTAGCTTACAGGAGAACATAGATGTTCACTGCTAATATGGAATCAGTGAAGGAAATGCAGATGTGCTGGGGTTCATCTACAGACACTGCTATATTACACATTCTAGATGTTAAATCTCTTGCTTTCTTTAATGATAAAGAAGTCTATGCAGTGGAAGGGTTAATTTTGGAAGTAAGAGTCTTATTGATCCCTGCAATAGGTAAGTCCATCTTACAGGTGGACATTTCAATTTAAAGAATAATCAATTTCAAAAATAAAACAATAATTCAAAGTCTTTTTTTGACCCTTACATCTTCTTCCAATCAGTTTAAGTTCTTTGTAAATCTGATTGCTTCCATGGATGTAATGAATTCCAGGCAGAAGAAAGCTGCTCTGCCTTGTAGCAGGAGAGGTCATAGGTGCAGTTTAGAGAGCCAAATAGGGTGCACCACAACTAAATCCAAGTTTTCAACTAGTGAAGACTGATTCCATGTTAGTTCTTGAGTATAAGACAGCTGTTAAAACGAAAGAGTTGTAAGAACAATCCCTCTCTCTTACCCTCTTTGTTCCTTTTTGTAGGGTATAGATGGCCCGGTTGGTCCCCATGGCCCTGCAGGTCCCAAAGGAGAGAGAGTAAGTATATGTTCCATGTGCTTCTCCTTACAAAGTGACTGCCACAATGGAAAAATGTCATGTGGGGACTCATACTGTGCCCAGGTGTTACAGAACAGGGCAGTATCTCACCTGTAGGGGAGCAGCCCAGAACTCTACATGCGTTCTGGTTACACACACATTCATCTGTTTGAGGTTGACATTGTAACTCCTTAACTTCAGAGGAATTGATACTTTGAAATGACTAATCACTAAGAAATTGACTGGACTTTCTAGTTCACAGTGCCACAAACAGAACATGATTTGCACTAGCTTCATTATGTTGTATAAACTGAGACAGCAAACTGATACAAAAGAAGATAGTGTGATCTGATTATATAAGAATGCAGTGGCAAAAAAAAAAGAAAAGTATTTCTCTCCTCTATGCACTGAAATGATTTTATCCAGGAAAAATACTTCCAGCCTCTGTAAAATTTAAACTTTTTTTTTTTTTTTCCCAAAGCTTAGAAGACAGGAACTGTGCTATTTAATTTGGAATATTCACAGTAAATTTTCTCTAGTAGAAATAGGATGGGAACTCTAATCTTTAACTATGAGCCTGCCACCTTTAACAATACAACCATCAACTTACACAACAAACCAGAAGATGATATCCTTACTAAAACCTCCAAGAAGTTGCCAGTCCAGAACTTTGTCTCTTTGACTTCCTCACGTTAACAAAACAGCTGTGCTAAAACAGCTTCAGGCTAGCTGTATTAAGGACACAGCCACATGGCAGGGGTCCAGTTAGCTTCATCTGAGAAAGGTAAGATGCATTTTTACAGAGCTGTGTACTGAGGGGTAAATACAGTACTATATACAGCATAGTCCAAATTAAACTGTACAGTAGGCTGCATTTACCACTCAGGCTAGTTAAGTGCCTGAACAGCTTGAGTATTTTTTCTGTTTTCCTAGGGGATTACTTAAATTCAATTTTTCATTGAAAAATTCATTTCATTTTCATTTTCAATTCAATTAGGTTTTTCCTTCGATTAGGACAAAATACATCTCCTGTCAACCCTGTCAAAAGATAGTTGAACATCCTCTAATCTCAAGTAAATAATTTAGATGAGATAGGCATGTAGAAGTACATAAAAATCCCGTACATTTATTCTTGCATTATGAGCTTTTATGTTGAAGGATATGCATGTGTACTACCAGTTGAAATGTCTTTGACAATGAAATATGATATAAACTATTAGTCTTGTCTGTGGAGGAAAGCTATTAATATTTATTTTTTTTTTGCGAGGGTATGCAAGGTCATAAGAGCTCATGCAGCTGGATCTGGAATAAGCCCTGCTGTAGCTGTTGAAAAGCAGTAGCTACGAAGGGGATAGGAATTGCTGTGATGTAAATCAGTAATTGCATGAGCATAGAAGGAGAACTTCACAGAAATAGAGAGACCAAGGTGTGCAGAAAATTCCTACACACCCACCATTTTCAGTGGAGCTAAATGAATGGGAGGAAGTTCAGAGACAGGTGGAATCTTTTTTCACAAGCAGGCAACCAGCAGGATTATTGCTGTAATTGTTCCTGTAATTATTCAGTACCATTTGGAAGGAGAAGATGTTTGTAGCATAGTTATGTAACAGGTGCCCAGTACTGATATATGTCTCATTATTTAAATAACAAATCATGTCTTTTTAATGCTGTTTTTCAGCTTGCATTTGCAACTGCTGAACTTGCCTATGTGTAAGCAGGAGTGAAACGTTTTTGTCTTCAGATTTTGGACTTTTTAATTAAAAGCAGTGCACAGGGCCAGTGTTCACTGCCACTCAATAGGGCCCCATTTTGTCTGTATTGATAAGAAAAACCTTGGACCAGTATAAATCTAGAAGGGCATTAGGGCTGTTTTACCAAGTAATCATGAATTCATTGTTGTAATAGGCTTCTGAATCTCACTGTGCTCCTATTATTTTCACATACATACTGTCCTGAGAGAAAGGAGAGAACACTGGAAAACAGATAAGACATCTTCAGCTATTACAGATGGAAAGGAACATGTAAGCCTGAAGGGTGATGACAGGCATAATGTATATCCAGCTTCTTGACCAACTAAAGGAATCTGAGAGCTGGAAATACACATTTTTCTTTTTCTTTCTTTTTTTCATTGATGACAAAGACATGGTTTTGTGCTTGATTTTGGATTTTAGATGTGTAGCCTGTGCAACACCGTCATCGTTACACACAGTACCAGTAGGTAAAGTGCATTCTCTTTAATTTGGTTAAAAAGTTTCTCACCATGACAGTTATAAAATCTCCCTGTCTATTCTAATGGAGACACAGATTATTCAGCTTTATTCATGCAAATTGTAACTCATATTTGTCCATGACTCAGGAGACTGAAATGAGATAGGAGGTAAAAACACAGGTTATGGTTTCTATTTGTTAGACACTGATGGATTGTCTTACAAAAAAAAATGTAAAAATCTTGAAGTTTGCCAATATCTGCTACCTGGGAGGAAATTGTGATGGTTGAGGGCAGTATGCTCATGACAGTCCAGAAATCTCATATAATCCATGAAATTCAGGACCTCATCTGATATCCCAAACATGTTTCAGCATGTGCTTTGTATTTGAGGCAAAAATTTCTGAGATACAGTTCTCCAAATATATTCTTACATAACAGACAGTATTATTTCCTAGACTGATACATTCAGTATCTTTATGTCTACCATATGTTTAGTAATGTTATAAGCCTATCTTGAGAGGACTTTGTACAGCCATCTAGCTGTTGAAGATTTAAGAAAATAAAGGTGCTTAACTAGTCTCGATATATTTCAAGTACTGATCGAAGAGTAGCTCTTACCTACATAGGTTAGTACATTAGTTTCTTCTTAGCAGAAAGCTTTAAAGTTTCAAGGGATTTATTGCTTTGAACATCAGCTGTTACTTTCCAATACCTGCTATTGTCCTGCCAGGGCATCCAGCCTAAGTGCTGCTCAGAAATTAGCAGAGGAGTAACAGGGTCCAGAAACACCTGACACTGCACATCTCATTACCTCTAGACTAAAGCAAGTGCCCACCTAAGAAAAATACAAAGTATTTAAAACAGATCAAGTGTCAGTTACTCTGACAAACTCCTTATTGCTGGGATTATTCAACCACAGGTTAAGGTCCCACGTGTATTGGCACCTGCCTTTTTGCATAATTCAGTCAAAGAAATTTAGACATAGCAGCCCATTTTCAGAGCTGTGCCAAGTACTTGGCACACATTAATTAGGCAGAAATCTACATCTCTCTCTTCTGCTTTTAATGATGGAGTCATCAATGAATTAATAATAAGCTGTAAATAACCCAGAGGATGTTGTACAGAGAATTATCTCACGAGCAGAAGTGCAGCAAATGCTAGGATGAAGCACAGCACTTCTGCACGCCAAGAGCCTCGCACGAAGCTCTGTGTTAGGGTGTGTCCAGAAAAGGGGGTGACAAGGTGTCCTGGGGTGACTTTATGATACTGGTATCCCAAATCGTCTGGTTTATGTTATATATTATGTTCTGCACCTTTAAGACTGGCTTTGAGAGCAAGAGAGGGGGAAGAAGAAGCGCGCAGTGTGTTAAGAAAAAACCAAGTCACCCTGCATAAAAAATCCAGATTAAGAACTTTGAAAACTAGAGGTGGTCGTGATTTTTTTCTTTTACTGCATCAGCACTTTGGGCAGTTCAGTTCTCTCCAGAGAGAAATGCTTTTCTGATGGATCTAATTCAGAAGAAAGAACACCACAGTCTGCAACAAGGCTGCTTTCTACACTTTCTTCCCAGCCCTGACTCCCTACCAAGCTCGCAGGGACCTGTTCTTGCAGTAACAAGGGCTAGTCCTGGCTGGCTTGGGAAGCTTAACTTCATATCAGCATTGATAAAGAACAATTAAAAGAGCAAAGGTGATTATTACTGTCAGCCTGAAATTTGTCGCCTTGAAATTCCATAACATTTGGAAAAGTTTACCGTATTTTAAGCTTGCAAAATTACTTTGCAAAATTACCCTTCTGGAAACTGGTAATTTTTCCGTGGATTTTAGTGCAGAATGAGATCAGACTTCTGGAGTAATTTCTGTATTTGTTTGTCTTGCATATTACTGAAGTTGTTTTGATTTTAATAAATCAGGGTATCTACATCGCTTATCTAGAATCTAATAGAGGATTTAGCAACACAGCACAGTGCATAGGATAATCTTCACAATGTCACTGTTAATGGCATTGCCTACTTAAATCAAGCTTTGACTGACAAATTATTTTTGCTTGTCACTGTACTGGATCTCAGCTGCTGCGTATATATACAGCTTGATGCTGTATATCCTCAGCTTTCATTACAACTTTGGATTTTTACTGGGAGCAACATTAAGCTGTTAAAAGCTTAAACTTGACACTGGTGCGTGTTCAGTTGAAACGTATTTTCAGTTACTAATGTATTTCAAAATTAGTGTGATATCGTATGCCTAAAAAGTCATTTTGCCTAGAAAGTAATACACACCTTCTCTTTCCCCCTTAAACATCTGATAAAAATAAATGAGCTTGGATATTGTCCATCAAAATACTTAGGAATGCATAAACTTTAACCTAAGCACTTGGTAGAGATAATTTCTGAGATAGCCAATGTTTTTGTTTGCTTGTTCTGTAATCTTTTCTTAGGGTGAGAAGGGAGCTGTAGGTGACCCTGGACCCAGAGGACCGTACGGCTTGCCTGTAAGTTGCACAGAGTTTGTACACACTGCACTTTTCATCCCTCCCTGATTAAACTTTGTGTGCTTTATGGCTGATTTTCACCTAGCAGTAGAATTAGTTGGAAAAGGCAGAGATTGATAATAGACCCACACAGTGCAAGGTCAGTGGTCTGTATCACACTCTTGGGGTTCTACCCATGCACATAAAAAACCAGACCTGACATGAACCAGCAAGAGAGAGGAGATGCAGAATGCAGGTGCTCCTGGTTCAGCAGGCTTTGGCCATCAGCTGCCATGTGAGAGTGCCAAGAGTTCAGGAGGAGCTGTGGAAAGCTGAGAATTTCTTAATGTCAGTAAGCTGCTTGGATTTCCATACTGCAAGGTTTCTTCACCATTATGGTTTTGTTTTGTTTGTTACTTCAGAGACCCATTTTGTTTTCATTTCTGTGCTGTCTACTCAGAAGCAATGTGAGAATTTCATTGTTGCTCATTCATAGGTGGAAATTATTTGTTTTGAATCAGTAATTATAATTATGTTATCCATTTCTAAAATATGAGGGAGAACTTCCTTTGGCCTGACAAGGAGATCCCCAATAAAACCAGTTGACTTTCCCTGTTTACACTGGTAATGACTGGGTCAGGTGTGTACATATACACATGTCTGTTCTGTACTCTGATGCAAGGAAAGTCATGTAAATGTGCTTGGCCAGGCACAACCAGCCTTTCCAGGAGACTTGCAGTGTTTCCATACCCTTTCCTGTCTAATCTGCTTGATTAATTAATTTAAACTGGAATACAGACCTGTGGTTTAATTAGATTCATTTAATTGGATCAGGAGTCAGTGGCTGGAGAGAGTTTTCAGGCTCCGTGGAGTGTTAAATTAGCTTGCCACACATTTTTATGTGGGAGTCACTTTTGCAAGTTCTTGAAAAAAGAATCCTATTTCTGTTTCCTATTCCTGCAAACTAAAAATAAAATTTTATAGATTTTTCCTGTATTTTTAGCTTGCTTCTGGAATCTGCCTGCAAACAAAATTTTGCAGTCAAGCAAGATTTTGCAGCCAGGTTATCAGTTCCTGGAAACGTAAAACGTAGGCAGCAGTGTCCTTGTCTGAGGGAAGCTAATGCAGCTCCTGTGGTTCTTTGGCAGGGCAAAGACGGCGAGCCTGGCCTTGATGTAAGTAACATGTGTGACCAGGGCACTCTCAGGGGTCGGTAAGAGTATGCCAAAAAATCCCTTATGGAGCACAACACCTCTGCTGCCCTTTAGTGTGCATGCAGTACCTGCAGAGAGTGTGGTGAATGCTGTGTTTGCTCTTTCTCTGTGGTGAAGGGGACAAAGATCGTGCAATGTACAGCCCTTATCGACAGACACCACCAGATAGTTGTGCTTAGCAATACAAGTACTTGGTCCTTTGGATGTCAGTAGGCTGAAAAAAATGCTTGCTAAGAAAATATTCAGATGGCTCATTTGTAGAAGAACAAGGAGTCACTTAGCACTTTAGTTAACTAAATTTATTCCAATTGAAGAGAATAATTCCATAGCCTGTAAGGGACATGTTTCAAAACATAGGCTCTTTCCTTGGCGTGCTGAAAAGACTTTCAGTAAAGTCTTTTTCCGTAGTCTTCCACTGAAATCCCTAACTTGAGGACTCTTTTTCAGAATGCACATATTCTATGTAGCATGGATGATTACTAGTTTGAGTTGTATGATTTCTTTCTGTAGCTGCCAAAATGTCTCTACCACACTGTGTGACTTACTCATCTCACATTTTAACCTGTCTGTGCATGTGTCCACACATAACACACATATATGTACAGGGCATGCAGTGAAATCATCTCTTTAGGTTTCTCCAAGAACAATTAAAAACTCAATCTGCATGTTAATAAAAGTCAACCTGTCTTTGTCCGTTTTGTTTTTATAGGGTTTCCCTGGTCCTCGAGGAGAAAAGGGTGATATAGGAGAAAAGGGAGAAAAGGTGACCACAGTGTTATTAACTGTTGCTTGATTCCTCAGCTAATCAGTTCTGCTGTCTTTATGCTATAGATTGTCCTGTTAAAACTTACATTTGTTTTTACTGTGTGCCAAAAGGCAAGTCACAGATACGTGCTAGAGCAAACTCATGAAAAAACACAAAAATGTATGTACAGGACCAGTAATATCAACATGACCCCAAAGCACAACCTTCTTTTTAGGTTCATTTTCTCCAATCCATCCTGCACTTGTTGAAAGTCCTGAAATATTTAATGCAGACATTAGTCATTGTGGTAGTGATCTTATACTGAAGAGCCCAGCTCTGTTCCCTGGCAGTATTTGCAGACTAATGGTTGATCCTGGTGTAGCATGCCTGTACATGCTGCTTGTCCCACACCAAGTGGCTAAGACAGGAACTGTTTGAATTTTTATTTTTGGCAATGTTTTATTTGCAATTAAGGGCTTTGTTATACTTGTGGATTGAAATTTAAAATTATATACTCTACCATTCTGGTAAACCAACTAGACAGTGAAGTTAACAGAAATAGCCTGACTTCATTTGCAGTGCCCAGACACAGTGAGTTGGAAATCACTTTAGTAAAAAGCAGTACAGGACTTAATGTCTGTAGAGAAATTTCATGAGCTATTTCTCTTCCATTTCTAGCCAACAAAAGCCCAGTTGCTAAAATTGCTGAATTAGAACACACACAAAAAAATCACCATGGGTGTTAGGATTCATCTCCATTTCTTAATATGGTTAGGCAAAACATTTCCCAAGAATGCATTGAAAAAGGTATTATAAAATTCTTCCTTCCCTTTTGTCCCTTGGTATATTGCTCTTTCTTTTGAGCTCAGAGATCACTGGTAAGGTACTGATTTTGCAGAACAACAGTTGTTTAAGCAGGTGCTCCATGTCTATTACAAAAGCAGTGTCTGACCTGGCAGAGTAATCACAACGGGTGGTGAGCCCTTGCTTGCTGTCAGAGTAGGGGTCTGTCTGCCACCAGTGAACAGCTTTTCTCCTCGAGAGGTGTAGCTGGTAACTGCCAGCTCAGAGAGGTGGTGGTCAAAATGCTCTTTGTGCTGAGTGCCAGATTGAATGAGCTTAGCAGTGTGTTCTCACCCGGGATACCTGCAAAGAGTTGTGACCAGAGGATAAAAATTATGTAATTACGCCTCTCTCATCAATTCCAGTGAGGTCACTTGAATACTGCAGATGGACTTTTGAGCCTCACAGTTCAAGAAAAAAACGGAGAGTAAGAAGGTTACCAAGCTGGCAGGGGTCTGGGGCAAACACAACCTGTAGCAGAGGTTGGAGGAGGTGGACTGGCTTAGTCTGACAATGGGGAGGCCAAACTACTTGAAAGGGGAGATAAAAGATGACAGAGCAGAACTCTTCTGGGTAATGGCAAATGCGGGACCACAAGCTGCTCCTGAGAGGTTCAGAGCAATTGTTCACAAGGAGGACAGCACAGCACTGGGACAGTGAGTCCAGAGAGGGGACTGAACCACTGCCCAAGGGCACTGCAGATCCTGGTCTGGGCTGACCTGCTCTAGGATTGGGAATCATCCTGCTCACAATGGGAATCTTAGGCAACCTCCAGAGCTCACTTTCAGCCAGAGTTTGTGAGTCTGTGTTTGCATGTACAACTAGAGCAGAGAGGCAGACAAATTTCAGCCACCAGAGCTTCAGATTATTTCTAGAAGAAAAGATGGAAAGCTGGTAAGAAGTTCACTTATGCAAATACAATGTGAAAAGTAAACCGATGAGATTCAGCACTCGGGATGTAAAAATGTTTTATGTTCCAGAGTCCAGTATGCTGCTTTTGGATATTCGTGATTCCCAGGGACTGACTAGATAAGTCGAACTTTGAGTTGAAAGAGAGTGAGGGAATTGTATGTGGGAACGGTGTGTGGCACAGCTACACCCTTTTCAGAGTTCACTTGTGATTTAGGCTGCCTGTGGAGACTTGTTCTCTTGGGCTGCAGGACACATCTCCTAGGAACTCTGGACCTCCATCCCCCTAAAATCTCATGAAAAGGCAAACCCTGTTTCCTGAGGAAAATGCATGGGATAAAGTAGTTAGCGAATCTGATACATGTTTCATAAAACACAGTGTTTTGTGGTCTTTCAGAAGGAGGATTGACTGGAAGTCTGTAGGGCAGAAATGGAGATTGAATACCTGCCTTAAAAATTCCCAGAGTATTTAAGGAAAACTAGGAGGCAAAGGAAGGCCTTTCCCAGTGAAAAGTCAGGGAAGATATAGTTGAGACCTCTGTGGAAGACACTTCCATTGCACAGGTCAAACACATTTTTCCCATAAATTAGGAATATTTGTATCATGCAAGCAAACTTAATTCACCAAAATTACTTTAGCTGCATCAATAGTTCCTTTTCCAAATAGAAAGCTGACACTCAAAAGACACAAAGTAATGCAATTAATCCAAATTCTCATTATAACAAGTCTTTTGTATTCTGGTGGTTTTCCTTATGTAAATTATTAGTTATCTATGACCAAACTGGTGTAACAGAACCCATTTCAACAGATAAAACATTTTAACATAACAGATAAAGAAGTTGACCATCTAGCTTATGATTTCTTGGTTTTTAAATATTTCTACAGTATTGGCTATTGGTCTGACATCACACAAAATGAGATTATTGAGTTTCTAGTTCAGAAACTTAAATTACACTGCCAAAATACATGTCATTTTGAACATGCTAAAGAGGACCAGTGACACTTTCTTTCATAGGTGTGCAGGGAATAAATGTATTTCTTAAGTTTGAGATGAGGCCTAGACTGCTGATCTGTATTTTAGCCCATCAGTAGTCCTGCTACAGTGAAAGCAAATCAGTGTTTGCATTAAGTCTTCTTTACATGGCTGTAAAGATATTTTTAAAAGTGTTCTACGTGTAATTACTCATATAAATTTATAGTCCAGGAGCACTCATCACAAAAAAGGTTTGTATTTTCAAGTTGTATGAATAGGGAAAAAATTCCTTTCAAAATATAATAAGCTTTAACAAAAGTTAGAGACTGTGTTGTGGGGAAGGAAGGGAAGTGGCCCCTGGTCCCAGATGCACAGTTGTGACTCTTGTAATGAATTTTGACAGAGGCGTATGGTGTGTCTGAACAGAGGATGAAAAGGCATTATCCTCTTTCCCTACACTCTCCATTGATGAAAACCTGTGCATGTGAGGATTGTAGATTGTTCGAACCATAATGATGTTGCAGAAGTGCCACATTTTTTTATTTCTCTAGGCACTAAGGAAGGACAGAAAGGAATTCTTTTTTTTTTAATCCTCGTCAGATGTAGAATCCCCATAACTCCTGTGGGTTTCTGTAGTTTAGGATAAGGAGTAAAGATCAAAGATTAAAAACAAAGAACTTAGTCTGTGGAAAAAGTAGTAAAGTACCCAGGAAATTCAGGCTGTTTTCTACACAGGTGACTGCTGCATTTGTTCGAATAACATCAAAGATCTCCCTGTAAAACGGGAAGCTGAAAAACCTGGTGGCTTATAAAACAAGAAGTTAAAGAAATAAAAATCCTAAAAGTTCAAAAAAGAGTCAGAAAGCAAACTGTACTGTTCATTTTCAGAATCCTTTCTGGAGTATGTCCATGCTTTGTGCTTGCATACACTCATTGCAAATATGTTGGTGCTACATTGAGCACAAATAGCATGAAATTTGACCCTAAGCTATTGGGTTCCTCTGCTACATTGTCATCTTTGTAGGTTTAAGATGGAAATGTAGCCAATTTATGATTCTTGCCTTGTGAGGTACTTCTTACATCACAATCTTATCATTTGGTGAGGACTGCTAATGTTTGGGTTGCTGTTTCTCCAAATATTATGCTATGACCTTTTGGCACACAGAAAAGATAGACAAGTAACTTTGCTTCTGTCATGACATGGATGCAGTATGCTTTGTTCATGGAATATTTTGTTTTATTTGAACGTGTCAGGTATGCTGTTATATTAAATGACTAATGTGCTTTCTTTAGTTTTTAAAATATTATTTATATACATTATTTTTTATGTGTAAAAATTATTTTTCTCTGTTGTTAATGGATTAAGTCTTTCTGTACTGGTGTGGAACAAGTTAAATGTCTATTTAATATGCTTCACCAGAATCCATCTGTCTTTCCAAAGGGGCATTCCTTCCTTCTCCTTCTACCCTCATTCCTTACAATTCCTCTGTCTTTTTTACCCTTTTCCTCACAAATTAAATCCTCCCAACAGCCACAACCTCACTTGCTGGTTCTCCAATGTTATACTAATTTTCCTATGACTATTTTCCCCATTTCTTTGTGATATCCTGATTTACTCATCCTTCCTATCCCATTTTTTTACAATCCTAGTCCAATTTGTTAATTTTTTTTTAAGTGATCCCTTTTTGATTTTTGTGAAATTGAGAGCAACCTGAAACTCATTTACCATTGTGATCAACTGGTGTGAAATCAATTATAAAATGAATTCTCTAAAGCTCTTATACTGCTTGAAGGTGAGGTCATCTTTGCAGGTAGCTTTGTTGAGGGGTATCAACTAATTTCCATGAGAATTAAAGCATTAGAAGTTTTGGATTTAAAAAGAAAACTCAGTGTGAAATCAAAGGACTGTATTTTGGTAAAACAAATAGATGAAACATTGCCTGCAGTAGAGAGAATATTTAAATGTTGAAATTTAAGCGTCATAGCACCTCTCCATCAAGCAGTTGGAGTCTTTTGATTCCTGTAACAGGGTTTGAAATGGTCGTGTTGTATTTGGAGTGACAGCAGTGCACCCTCAGTGATGTCTGTGAGTTTCTGTGGGCGCCACAGAGAGCAGGATTTGTTCCAAACTCTTAACAGAGTGCAAAGGGTCAGTTAGCAAAGGATGCTCCTGGGCAGGTTCACCCTTGATGTGACACCCTGGAAGCTGATGGAATTTGCTCATCCCTGTGAAGTGTCTGTGCCACAAGCCTTTTATCAAAAGACTCTGCTGATGGATTCTGCTCTCCCAAAGTTACTTCTGGCTCGTGGCAAATCCTCTGG